TGTGTGTGTGTGTGTGTGTGTGTGCATGTTGTCCCTCGTGTTGTTCATGGCCTTCCTCTGGTCCTTTGACCCTGCAGATTCTATCCTAGCGACCTCCTGGTTGTATCCGTCTCGATTTTCCCTTTACAATGATCTGTCCAAATCATCACCATAATATTCTTCTTCTCGTTGTCATTTCTTGTTCTACCGTTCTCTCCCTAGTCTAGCGGGTGTTATAGAGGGCGTCACCAGTGGTGGGTCGACTTCTCTCTTTTCCCTCTATTTTTTATGCCCTTTTGCTTCCCTGAACTAAAATGGCGTTATTAAAATTGTGTCCACGCCCACTCCTTTATGCAAACAAACAAAAACAAAGGTTTGTTACCCTTCTCCAACATTTCCTCTATAGAAACAAATTTGAGTGTATATCGGATCACGATCGAAACAAGAATCACAAAGTTCTGTTTAATTGCTCTCTACCTAGCTTTGGGAAATTAAATGTCAAAATTTTAGAGTTTTACAGCATGTCAAGTTTTTTCTAAATGCAATTCTGTGAATGTCTTGATAAAGGTTCACAATAATCTTATGATTTTGACAAGGCCAACAAGTAGAACATTTTAGTTTTCAACCTAATTGTCGTATTAAGTAACTCAAAGCATCCTAAAATGTCAGATAGAACTTTGTAATTCTGGTGAAGAGAAATGTCAAGCATCCATTGGTGACGGGTTTGGGCTTCTGTCTGCCGTTTTGGTAGATTTTCCAGGTCTGTGCTCCATGCCCTGCAGTAATCAATTTCTCTATTTATTAGACGCTGCCCGTCCACTGCAAGATGTAACCCTCCAGCACGACCAGTTTTATCAGTTGTTTTCCATGTCCAGGTCGTATACCCGTCTGTTCTCTGATGTCATATTGTCATCTTCTTTCTGGTCTTCTTCTTAATCTTTTCCCTGTTCTGGGTCCCTATCACAGAGCTGATAAAAATTCCCATTCTGTTCATCTTTTGTCCATCTGCTCTTTCACTCTTTCGATGCCGATGCAACCAGCCTATTTCCATTTTTGTCCGAGTATATATTCGAGGACATCTGTCACTCCTGTTTTCGATAATTTTTATGTTGTATTTTTATGCCCAGCATCTACTTTTCCGTTGCTCTCGTACTCGTAGATATACTAGAAATTCCACCCGATCAATCCTACATAGGCTTAATCTTTGACTGGAAGCTACTAAAGTATGTATAGGCCCCTACTGGTATAAAAACTATAGTAAGCTTAATTTTTTTTTTAAATCACTCTGAAATGGTCAACATAAAATGGATTCATTTATGGTGGTTGAAAAGGGACCGGGGGGGGGGGGGTTAAGTGGTCCTTTTTCTGTTGGCAAGAAGTCTTATGATTTTGCTTTTGTGAGCCTTCCTCTATTTGCCATACGGATGGCATTTCTATCTCTTTTTTAAATTTCTTTTATATGGCGGGGGAGGGGTCTCAAATGAATCCTGTGTTTCAAATAGCCCTTTCATCTGCCAGCTCGACGTTCAACCGAAATAATAAGTAATTATTATTAGTAGCTTCAAAAATTATTATTGTTAACCCAAGATTCGAGACGTACGAAGTTCGAGCGTTCATTGAGAGCTCTTTTAGACAAAAAAAAACCCTCTATTAAAACTTCTTGCTTTAACGCCCCTGTGCGTGCACTGCGCTTTTACTTTCGCTTTTATAATTCTTCAGAGTACCGTACTACTGTTTTAGTAAGTACCTAATACAACTCGTGCGTCTAAAACTGAAGCTGACAATAAAATGGCAGTACATTCAGTAAAGCGCCTCTTGTTGGCATGTGTTTTTCGGACTGGTCCCATTAAACTGGGCTCAAGATGTCTTAGTAGTTCTACAACTACAACAACACAGTTTGAGGCGGCTCCGAGCGTAGCGGATGAGGTCAAAGTCGACCATCTGGATGGGGACCAGAAAGGTAAGACAAGGCCTACTTTTACTAGAGAAGCTGGCTCTTGGACAAGGTTCACATCCCATAATAAATACGATTGATATCAAACAGGATGTAGGCACGGGGATCAATGACTAAACTAGCTTCTTCTACAACTACAAGCCTTGTAAACGCCTTGTAACTTGTAACAAGGGACAAAGAAAGTGCGGTAAATTTTTACTTTCACTCCCGCACACAGTGCACTGTTTCAGGGGTCAAACTGCTGTACTGTTTGCTGCAGATCACACGTAAAGCCACTAAAACTGTCGCAAATCAATTATTTTCAAGACAATTTCAAATCTAACTGTAAAATATCAAATTATGGGTAAAAACAGGGGGGGCATGCCCCCCTGTAACCCCCCAGATTTTCTTTTACCCCAGTGGGGCAGGCCCCCCTGGTACCCCCCGATTGGTCCAAAGCACGTCTATCTCGGTTAAAAACAATCAAATATTTCAAAAACTATAATTTGCGATGGAAATGAAGTTGATATTCGTGTTCTGCGCATCAATATTTAGTAGAAAATAGACAACTGGTAGCTGAGTGTGAGACGGGAGGGAAAGTAAAAAAATACCGAAAGTGCCTACTGTCTAATTAAGGCCGGCTCTAGATCTAGATCTATTTCTCCGAACATTCAGGAAAATAAACTTTAAATTTATTTCTCCAAACGGTTTTCGCTCTCAAGATTTGTTAATAATAATTGCGAATAGAGTGGCCCATATGTGAATGTGTGTGTGTGTGTATATATATATGTGTGTAAGATGTGAACGGGGCATTGGGGAGGGGCTGCATGGAGGGATTTTTTTTTTTTTACATGAAGGATTTTAGTTTTTTCTGGGTGACTAAATGCAAAATAGGTTACTGCCAAGGTCAATCAGTCTTGTTTTCTCGCAGTACCTTTTGAAGGTATTTTCAAATGATGTATAGTCCGGGAACGTTGCCCCAACCACAACTGAAGTATCTGACTAGCTCTAGAAATTGAATTTGATGAAAAAAAAGCTCATTCCCAGTCCTCGCAGAATGGCAGAATGAAAGATGATGCCTAAATCTCGCAAATAACCAAAAAATCTTGAGAACGGATACCATTCGGAGAAATAAAGTTCAAGTTTATTTTCCCGGACGTTGGGAGAAATAGTCACTTCGTAAATTTTTTGATGGAAGTGGTTATTTACAGGGAAGTGGTTATTCTCTCCCCGGGTGAGAATAACCTATGTCTCGCTATTCTCATCCCCTCCCTAGTTTTACAGGAAATTACCCAAGAGGGATCATGGCTGAGGTTACCAGGGCTGATGCCCCACAGGATCGTGTTGGTGTCCGAATAGACACAGATCTTGTCACAGTCAGGGTTGTCAAATTGGAGCAAAATCCCAGAAATTTGGCTCTTTTGGATTATGTCTGGCCCGGAGAATTTCATTTGGCTCTCTGGCTCTTTTTTGGCTCCAAACTCAGAATGTTCAAAAAGAAGGGGACAGAAGAGGCTAGAAAAAAGAAAAAGAAAGAATTTTTTTTTTAAATGTTAAAAGAAAGTGAAGAAAAGAGCTTGGATTGCTTAATAAAGTTATTAAGCTAGTTAACACGGTTTAACACCATCGCCCGTTTGGTTTGAATAATTTACAACCTTTCAACCTTCATGCAAGAGCATACATTTTAATAGTCTCATGCTCGTGTCTCGTTACGTTCATACACGCTCTCTGTTCCTTGAACCATAAAATTTATTGTGTGGAGGCACAGAGGCCAGCCATCAGTAAATGTGTAAACAACGAATGGTCCGGACGGCGGCTGGTCCCACATCCCGCTCAGTAGCGTCGGTAGTGAGCCCCCTTTTTTTTACTGGAGAGGCGAAAAATGTTTTGCAATTATTATTATTCGTTCCCAACCACATGCGGTAAGCCACTAAGGGCCTTCTAGGTGACTTTATCGGCCTGAGAGAGGTCAGGGGGGAGTCCTCGCCTCATGCCCACACCGGGGGATGAGAATAGCGAGACATGGGTTATTCTCACCCAGGGTGAGAATAAATGTGGTCATTTAGGCATATTTGTAAACCTACCATTATTCTCACCAGGGGTGAGAATAGCCTATGGCCCTTTGTCTCGCTATTCTCACCCCCTCAGGTGTGCTGACATACAGAACAACACAAAGAATAATTTATAAGTTGTAGAGATAAGTTTCAGATTTATTATTTTGTATTTTTTTTACTTTCCCTCCCGTCTCACACTTAGCTACCAGTTGTCCATTTTCTCCTAAATATTGATGCGCTGAACATGAATATCAACTTCATTTCCGTCGCAAATTAATACTTTTTGAAATATCTGATTGTTCTTAATAGAGATAAAAATGCTTTGGACCAATGGGGTGTTCCACTGACAACCTTGACTGTGACTATTCGGACACGAACACGATCCTGTGGAACATCAGCCCTAGTAACCTCAGCCCTGATTCCTCTAGGGTCATTTCCAGTAAAACGAGAGGGTGAGAATAGGGAGACAAAGGTTATTCTCACCTGTCTCCACATCCTTCTTGATAAACAAAATAATAAGCTGAAACTGTTAAGACTGCTTCAGAGTCTTCTGCCTCTAGCTGCATGCAGCAGTGAACACACACGCACTTGCTTGATTATCCAATTACTGTCACCTTTTTCAACTTTAGCTGTAACCTAACAGCCAATGAAATGTCTTAGAAGGGTCTCAGCAAAGGATGAGCCCGTTCCCATGCTCCTTTTTTATTAAATGAAACGAACTAACAAGAGCTGGCGAAAATTGTTGTTAGAGAGGGCTCATTCTCTGCAAGCCCAGGCAATGGGGGGAAAGTTCATGACACACTTTTCTAAGACACCCAGCAGTAAGCAAAACATGCTCATTGGGCCCTCGTTAGGAATGTCTTGCTCTCTGCGACTACACTGCCTAATCTAGTTACTGTTGTGTGTGTATGTGACACACGACACACATGCACACTCACAGAAACACACCCACTACATAGATTTATTTATCTAAAATTTCTTCTGAACTGACCAAACCTTCCCTTTGAACTCAACCTACTCTCATTACCAAGCTCCACCCACCGCCTCATACAGGGTCTATCATTTTGGGTAATCACAAAGTAGATTTGATTTCTATAATTTAACTTGAGGTAGTTTGAATTAACTTAATTTTTAGTTTAACATAGGCTACTAACTAGTAAATTTTTCACATTGCTTTGGTACAGGTTACAAATGTTAATAATAATGAGCTCATGTAAGTTAGTGACTTCTGGAGAGATAGCCCTATATGAAGAATTGACTTGCTTAGGTGCAGGTGTTTTATTGTCATATATTATTTTGTAGAGACAGCTTTCACCAGTATTCTTATTTTTTAAAGGTCAAATAAAATGTCATTGCTTGTCCAACACCACAAATACTCTTACTCTTAACATGTTTCTCCCCGTAGGTATAGCTGTCCTGTCCCTGCGACGCTTTCGCTACAAGAATGCCATGGGCAAAAACTTCCTGATAAGAGTGAGTAAGAGAACTTTTATCTTTTAGTATGTTAGAACTTTATTATTTTTTTAAAGCAGCTGTAGTCTGCAATGATGCATCTCTCTTCTTGGGTAGCCCATCTAGACTCAAAAGATTTAAAGCAGACCTATCATGATCTGGCAGGAGGAGCATGCTTGCCATTCAGTTTTCAGCTTGCCATTCGGGATTAAATCTTTAGATTTTTATTTCAAGAGCTTCTCATAGTTAAGAGTGATGCATCTCATGAGTTATAGACCTACAATGTATTTGTTTTATGAACAACATATAAAAAGCACTTGAAATAATTACAGCAAGCAATTTTGTGCAACTTGTTAATTTGGTTTTTATAGTCTATAAAACTGAGCAATTGAACTGCATGTGATATTAGTTGAGATAAAAGTTAAACTGAAGCCTCTATAGATAAAAATTGTAGCCTTCTGGTCTCAAAACTGAGGAAATCTTTTCAGATCAGTGATGCTGTTGAGGAGATGAGGTTCAACAACGACATTCGATGTGTCGTAGTTCGAAGTGAAGTTCCAGGAGTCTTTTGTGCAGGTTTGTGCAAATGGAAAAGTTTTTTTTCAACAGTGCAATGAATAAAATAAACATACAGTTAATTTTTAGACTTGACATTGTTCGATAGTTTTGCATAGAATAAATGTCATAATTAACTTCAGAAAACAAAAGACACTGATATTTTAGTCTTAATATTTTTCAATAGTACGTTCCTTTCTTTATTTTCCCTTTTGCTTTGTAAGTAAAGAGTATGAGTAGTAACTGGCGAAGGGCTTTTGCTTTGGATCATTGAGAATAATGTGTTCTATATTTTTTAATTGAAAGGAAATGATGCCATTACCTTGTTGAATTGCGGTAAACTTTTTAAGCAATTTACCATTTTGTGATGACTCTGCAGCTGTGAAGAAAATATAATATTTCTATCAAATAATAAAAGCGTAGTTTTAATTTGTCTGTAAATAGCACTTATGGAAAATGAAAGGATAAAGTTTTATAAATGTAATATATTTGTTTGTTTTCTGGAGCTGTGAACAAAAAAGCTGAACCAATCCTATGCTCCATTGGGGTTTTTTTTATGTGATTATGATGCTTGAGTTGTTTAGGAGTTTGGGGGGGGGGGAGGTTGGTTATTGGTTTGTTTTTTATAAATATATATCTTTCCTTTAAGTGTTTAAACCATAGTGTAAGTTTTTCTTTTGCCATATTTACACATTTGTTACTCGGCTTGAATATTGCAGCAAGTATTTTTATGAATTTAATGTAACTATTTTAATGAAAAAATACAACTTACAATGGCAGCTCTTTTACTGCTGGAATATGTGATGTAGTCTGGTTTCTTTACTGTCACTTTATTGTAGGTGCTGATCTCAAAGAACGATTGCAGATGACAGACAAGGAGGTGGCTGAATTTGTCAATACTCATATACGAGAGAATATCACTCGTCTCCAGAACCTGCCTATGCCGACCATCGCTGCTATTGATGGGGCTGCCCTGGGAGGGGGACTGGAGCTGGCTCTTGGCTGTGATCTCAGGGTCGCTTGTAAGTGGGTCATGTGTTTTGTGTTCATCCTGTGTCCAAGAAGATGGCATTAATTTTCTTTGCAACAAAGAATAAATTAACGCTATGCTGCAACTGAGCACAAGTAACTTTGTGATAATCCTAAATTACAGTCATACCCCGTTGTATTGCCTATACCTTGGGATGAGCATGAAGTTGGCTGCACAGCGGGGCTGACAGTACAACAAAGTTTTCATGTCCTGTGTTAAATACATTTACCACTGAATGCCCAATGTCAAGGGAACTTGTTTACCAATCAACAGATGAATTAATGTGTTATCTCCCTTCGATCTGTCACTTAGACTTGAGCCTGAATCCTCACTAAATAAAAGCCCCCATTTGCAATTGCCTGCCTGTTACTTATTGGGCTGATATCTGATGACGCCAGAAATTTTGCCAGGGGAATGAGATGGCGAGGTTCATTTAAAGTTTCTCCAGGCGACTTAAAAATTGAATTCCAATTGCCTTTTTTTTTATATTGACCAAGGCCTAAAAATATTAGCATTTTTATAACCAGCACCTCAAATTTAGTCAGATTCTATCGAGAGCGAAATTTGATGCTGAATTAAAAAGTTATATTTTATTTTTTGTATTCTTCTATATTACACTTTTTATTGTATTCATTACACAACATATCTCATGTGTTTTGTGTCTGAGCACATCTCTAAAACTACAACTTTCATATTTTGAAATTACAGTTGTTTGGATTGTAGCTGATTTTTGTTTAAAAATTAATTTCCATTTTCAGCAAGTAATGCCAAAATAGGTCTGATAGAAACAAGCCTGGCAATATTTCCTGGCGGGGGTGGCACTCAGCGTTTGCCCCGTACAGTCGGGGTCGCTCTGGCTAAAGAGCTCATCTTCACAAGCCGTGTTCTGGATGGTGTGCAGGCTAAGGAGCACGGAATCGTCAACCACTGTGTGGAACAAAACGACAACGGAGACGCTGCCTACCTCCGAGCTCTCCAGCTGGCAGAGGAAATTTTGCCAAATGTAAGTTATCGTTAAATGATATCAAGAGGTTAGCCTGGGATAGAGAAATGTGAAAAGAGTTTGTTTGTGGCCTTTACACCCTGATCCAAGGTGAAAAAGGCGTTGATGATGATGAAGATGAAGTCAGAGTTTGACTTAAGTCTTCTGCTTAGAGAACTTGAACAGATGGGTGACAGAAAAAATTCAGAATAAATAATAAACTGTCCAATATGCCATAATTGCCATCTGTCCGAGACAATCACCTAAACAAATGACCGAGGTCAAGTGCGAGAACTGAACAACACATCAACAATTGTGGTTCACCAAGCTTTTTTCTACTCTGATTTCTGATACTGTCAAAAACCTGTATAATCCGAGTTTTTCCCATCACCCATCTGCTCAAGTTTTCGTACTAAATTATTCTTGAACTGCCTCTTCCTGTTTTGCCTTTTATTTTTACCACTGAGAGCAAAATGTTCAAGGCCTTTACGTGGGTCAAGTGTCCTAGAAACTTCACTTGTGTCTCTGGCAATATTCCTATTCATGGACATCTCACACTGGTACTTTCTGCACAGCCTCATTTGATTTTTTTGCTCCATGATATTTCCAACATTCTCCTCATTGGTGGACGCAGAAAATCACTATTCATTTCTCCTGCACACCTGAAAGATGCTGAAAGAATCCATTTGTCCCAGAAATCCAATCAGATCAGACAGTTCAGTTTTGCAGAGTTTAACTCATTCGCTACGTATTATTTTTGGCTTGTGGGCGAATTTTTTTCGGGAGGGCGAAATGAGATGATGACTAGTGCGCAGTTCAAAGGTCTTTGGGGCTACAAATTCAAATAAATATTAACATATTATATACCTAACTGTTCAGTATGGTTTGTCGAATACATCTGTAACGTTTGTTTGTGTAATTTTCAACTTTCGTTCCTGTAAGAGGCGATTATGCTACACAATTTTGATAATCTTTGGTGAAACTCCAAAATATGTTTGCACCTAGTCAAATGATACATCGAAATAACCATAAAAGAATATAAAACTGGAAAATATTAAAAAATTTGTAGTTGTTTACATACATTCCATAATATTTGTACATTTGGATCATAACATCCGATATTGAAAAAAAATAATTTTGTTTTATGATCTTGAAAAAAGGATCACAAACAGAAAAAAAAACTCTTATCTTATACATTGGAATCCCGTTATAACGAGAGGGAGGGGACCGGAGCAAATTGTCTGTTATAGCAGGATTCTCGCTATAAGGGATCCAGTAATAAATTCAAGGGAAACTGTAAAGTAGGCCTAATCTATGAGTTTGGTGTTCTGTTTTTCCTTTTGCTATCTCCCCTGATGATGATTTTGTTTCAACATGACCTCTAGGTCTTACTTGACCGAAAATCGAATCAGGTTTGTTTCTCTAACGCTAGATCTAGCGATGTGGACTGACAGCTCGGCGTTGGCGATCAGAAAGAAGGGGCTCTGGGCTAACTCGCCCGCTGTGTTTTCCCCCCACCCCACCCCACCCCACCCTGTGGTGCATTCTGTCTGCTTGCGCATATCACACATTCGCTCCATCCATCACATTGCTGTGACCTCTCCATCCCCGCATCGGAGAAGTGAGAGGCATGGCAGGCCTTGATAATCTAAACTGGCCTATCACGTGATGCATTCTGCTTGTCTGCGTATGCCACACCCTCCCTACTCAGTTGCTCCGGCCTTCATTGTTGACGCACATGGGCTCTCCTATTCTTTGTTTCACAAGATCAGCAACAAGTTTCTCACCTGGCGAGGTCTTGCATTATGTATAATTGGCCTATGTCATGTGCACAGCAGCAGCAATATTCCGCTATAACCGACTCGCAAGTGTGTCTGATAGCGCTATAGCAGTATTTTATTTACAAAGGTAAAGAGGAGAACAAAACGGGGTTTTAGAATAGTGCCTTTATAGCAGACTTCTCGTTTTTTCTGGACTCGTTATAAGTGGACTCCACTGTAATACTTATATGGAATTATTCAGAATTGCATTTGGAATAAACCTTACATGTCTTGAGTGGCACGTTTTGTGCATTTTCACCAAAAAGTAGTAATTTTGGGGAGAAAAAAATATTTTGACAATTTAGATCTAGATCTCAAAAATATTGATTTCTCAATAACAGTGCATTAGCAATTTGAACCCAATAGTATCAATATTATAAAGAAGAGTCCTACATTTCTTTAGTGAGCAAAATAATGATACATTTTGTTGCGTAAAAGTACTATGAGTGGTGTCTGGGCTAGAATTTTGGCATCGCGATAAAACAAAGTCGTATAAACTAGGAAATCGCGCTTCAAAACTGAATCAAAACTTTCGATTTTCGGAGGAAACGCTTGACCCGAAAGTCAATGTTATATTACAACCTTTATTTTAACATGGATGTGTGGATTGGAATAAAATCTAAGCTAGAATTATAGGTCGGTTCAAGCCGTCGGGGGCAGCTTGGCATACGGAAGACACTTTCGCCACGCCGCTGCCCACGGCTCGGCGTAGCGAATGAGTTAAACATTTCATGTGTTGCTACCCCTTGTTTTGATGAATACAATGAAATAATAACATGGAGAATTATGTGTGTGCTAAGCTTTTATCTAATTTTTGCTATAATTTTTTTTTAGGGTCCCATTGGTGTGCGCATGGCAAAGGCTGCAATCAGTAAAGGATCTCAGGTAAGCATTTTATACCTTTTTACTGGAATGTCTGTTTTCCACTCTGAGAACAGTTGTAGCAGTGGCAAATCATAATCGCCGATGTCTGTTTCAAACCATGCATTTGAAAAAAGAGAAGAAGAAACTTGGTGTCTGAAAAGAAGTCGCAGAAAACTTTGTATGAGAGTGAAATTTTTTTTTAAGTGAAACCTTGTTGTGAGATGAGTCTGGGTCTTAGGGCTAAAGGGAAAGAGTGCTTTTTGGCCAGACTAGATTGGGAAGGGGGAATTTGTGGGAGGGTAAGGCTGATTCATGTTTACTTACTTGTTTGTTTTGATATATTTTTTTGCAGACCTTCAGTCTTTGATGCTTGTACATAGTAAAACCCATCAGACTTCAGTGAGTTAACAGACTGTGTGTACCCATGTAGGTTCATTGGTAACTGTTCCATCTTGCATACAAAATTTGAGTTACAGGCAGAAGTAAGAAGACTGTTCACCTCCTCAGGAGTATCTGCTTAACAAAGAGTAAGAGAGTGTAAACTTAAAGACACTGATGTAGATGCATCTGCCTATAAAAATTGTTAGTAGTATCTTAGTCTGTTAATTGTCAATATAGTGTTGACACCTGGTGTTTGACAACTTTTCAACAAACCATTAACGTATAGACCTTTCCATTACAGTGGAATCCTGTTATAACGAGAGGGAGGGGACCGGAGCGAAATGTCTGTTATAGCAGGATTCTCGCTATAAGGGATCCAGTTCCCCCCCCAAATAGACCCACCTCTTCGTGGTGGGGGGGGATTAGTACTCTTCGAATAGGAAAAGAAAAAGAGGAAGCAAACGGGTCAAGGGGTGACCCCGAAAAGAGACATATTACTTTACTATGTTTCTTACTCTTTCTATTTATTGTCTTTATTGTGGAATCCTATTATAACGAGAGGGAGGGGACTGGAGCAAAATGTCTGTTATAGCAGGATTCTCACTATAAGGGATCCAGTAATTAATTCAAAGGAAACTGTAAAGTAGGCCTAATATATGAGTTTGGTGTTCTGTTTATTTCCTTTTGTTATCTCCCCTGATTATGATTTTGTTTCAACATGACCTCTAGGTCTTACTTGATAAAAAATCGAATCAGGTTTGTTTCTCTAGCGCTAGATTTAGGGGTGTTGAGTGACAGCTCGGCGTTGGCAATCAGAAAGAAAGGGCTCTGGGCTAACTTACCCGCTGTGTTCCCCCCCCCCCCCCCAACCCCCCCCCCCGGGGGACCCACCGTCGGGCGCGCGCCTCACCCCCCCCCCCCCCCCCAACCACACCCTGTGGTGCATTCCGTCAGCTTGTGCTCGTCACACATTCGCTCCATCCATCACATTTCTGTAACCCTATACGTTCTCTGACTGTCTAGCTGTAACCTCTCCATCTCCGCATCGGAGAAGTGAGAGGCATGGTAGGCCTTGATAATCTAAACTAGGCTTACGCTGGCCTATCACGTGATGCGTTCTGCTTGTCTGCGCATGCCACACCCTCCCTAATCAGTCGCTCTAGCCTTCATTGTTGATACATGTTGGCTCTCCCATTCTTCGTTTGGCTAGATCACCAACAAGTTTCTCAACTGGCGAGGTTTTACATTATATATAATTGGCCAATATACGCTGTGCACCGTGCAGGAATATTCCGCTATAACCGACTCGTGTGTTTGTTTGATAGGGCTATAGCAGTATTTTATTTACAAAGGTAAAGAGGAGAAAAAAACGGGGTTTTAGAATAGTGTCTTTATAACAAGCTTCTCGTTTTTTCCGGACTCGTTATAAGTGGACTCCACTGTATTTTGCAGAGCAGTGGTCATTGACTTTTCAAAAAATGTATAATACTTTTATTTCAGGTTGATTTAGAATCTGGTCTCAAGTTTGAAGAAGCATACTATGCTCAGGTGTGTATTGAAGACTTTCTTTCTATTTTTTGGGGGGGGATTGATAGATTTTAGAGAATGTGTTGATTCTTTTACCTGAATATCTGTGTATGCGCATATAGTATGTGGGGATTTACAAATTATAAGTGCTGAAGCCAAGAGAGAAGTCCACAAGAGGCTCACCTCCACAAGTGGAAATGAAGCTTTTAAATGCTCAAAATTTGGGAAACTCTTTTTTGTTGCGATTGGTCTCATTACCCATAATAACAGACACAGACACAGTATCCCTGCAGACAGACAGGGATATTTGATAAAAATCTACCCAAACCATCACCACAACACCATGACACTGATCTTATGTGTCAGGGAGTGCTGCATATTTCAAAATGCAAAACAAAAGTAGACTAAATATTTCAGCCTTCTTTCTCTCATCATGTATGAGCTGTAAAGCACATAGCCCATGCTGTTAAGCATGGATATGCTGTATAAAAATGCTATTATTATTATTATTTATTTTTACTATTATTCTCAAAATATTGGTTATGTTCATAATTTACTAAATGCAGAGACTTGTGTGCTGTCCATTTCTCAAAATTTTATTTTCATTGCTTGGCTATTTTTTATTTCTGTGTGTATGCAGATTATTCCAACAAAGGACCGTATTGAAGGCCTGAAAGCATTCAAGGAAAAGCGTCGCCCAAAATACGAAGGACATTAGGATGTCTGCAGCAAAGACAAGAGTCATGCCCTTGGAGTCTCTTTGCCAGCAGATAAAATTACCCTTTTGAGATTTTGTCTGGAGAATGATGCAAAAATGTCATATCTGCCGAATTATTGTTTTGAGAATATAATTTTGGAGGGAGCTCAAATTTAGTTGATGTTACAATTTAGAAGTATGTGTTGTAGACATAAAAAATTACTTCAGCTGACTAGTAATTATACATTAAATCTACAAATGGCCGCTTGCACTGCATGCTTCCCAGGAAGTTGAAGTTGTTTCAGAATGCTCTCGGGTCTACTGGGGTAATAGTACAGATTGTGAAGCGCATAGAGCTTGCTGTTGAGTGGGGATTTGAGCTATACAAATGCTATCTATTATTATTTATTATTATTAAATAATTTGGTCTCTGAGATAACCATGCAGTGCAACAACAAAACTTTAGATGATTAAGGTGAAAGGACTATTTGAAATTCCGTCTAATCTAATTAAATAATTTGGTCTCTGAGATAACCATGCAGTGCAACAACAAAACTTTAGATGATTAAGGTGAAAGGACTATTTGAAATTCCGTCTAATCTAATCAAGAACAAATAGCTAAGTCTGATTGTGTGCTTCAGCCAATGCATAAATCTCAGCTTTCAGTTCTGAAGTAAAACAAGTTCATTATGTGTAATTTCTGTATTTATGTAATCGCAGAATCAAAATGAAGCAAAGATGTTGTTTTTTTTACAGAACATTTACTCAGGGAAATCTATTCCACAAATTGTGTTCTAAACACATACATTTGAAAAGATATTATTTATTTAGCAAGATGCATAATTTATTTATATATGTATATATATTCAGTTATTTGAAAAACTGTTGCTTTACTGTAGCCTGTATTCAGCAGTGTTTTGGGATTTCTTTACATGTGTGTACTTTTTCCCCCCTTCTCTTCTATTCAAATGTACTTTACTGTCGCTTACGACTTACATTACATGCACTGTGTGCATAATAATAATATGTCTGTAGGGGTTTTTTTTCCTGCAGTACGCAATAAGTTTTATAACCTCACTCCAACATAGATGGCTCATTTAGGGAAAAGGAAACCAGGGCATCTCAGGTTGTTTGTATGACGGGGTTTGATTTATACCTTAAAGACGAAAAGACTATCTCATCAAAGCTGGGGCTAAGGGTTTGATTCCAATGAGTGCGGCATTGCAGCTGTACCTTTCACTGAAAATGTGAGGAAGAAATAACAAGCTTAGTGGCTTCACTTTTGATGGGAGGTACTTATTTTCACAAAGAAAAGGTTTACCGTGAGCTGAAATGCTGACTCAGACCTTCTGACCTCAGGAAGTTTAAACATATTGTCTTGCTTAATGCCATAGCTGTGAAGCCCCATCATGAACTCATAAAATTAATATAACCGTAAGCAGTGATTTTACCCTTCTTTTTCTTCAAGTGCCAGAAATAAAACAGAAATCCTTGATCATGCTTCACCATTTCCCATCACCTATATCTTCAAGTTCTCTGAGTTGATTATTCTTAGTCTACCTCTGCCTCTTTTCCCTTCTCTTTTTCTACTGAGAGCAAAATGCTCAAGGTCTTAATGCAAATTCAAGTGTCCTAGGAACTACATCATCTCTTTCAAATTGTTTCTACTAGTGATCATCCCATGCTGGCTTTTTTTTCCTGTACTCTCTCATTTGATTTCATTTCATTCCATAAAATTCTCAACTGTATCTCTGGAAACCACATTTTTGTTGCCTGTGGTTTATTTTTGCTCTCTTTAGTAATCTTCCAATACTCACAGCAGTATTAAATTGGGTGGAATTACACATTGCCTTTTTAAACTCCTGCTTTGGTTGTCTTTGAGATACCAGTGTTTCTATTTTTGGAGATTCGACTCATTTTATTGAAGTCTTTAGCTATTGCAATTCTTCATTTTATTTTTATGGTACATTCACTTTCAAAGGTAATTCAAATGTCAGGGGTGTTTAAACTTTTAAATACTGTTTAATCTTCTCATTTTTGCTAATGAATTGAGGGATGGGATTTACTGCGTTTTCAGATATTATCAGTATCTTGCACCCTGTTTATATCTGAACATTGAAAATAACCCTTTGCAGCTCTACATTCCCTTTCAGTCGCAGCATTATCAAGAAGCAATTGAAGGTACTTTTCAGAATCTGCGAATTCTATCTGTCCCACTAGCTCATCTGATATTATTAATATTGTCTCCATTTAATTTGAGATATGGGCATTGTTCTACTTCTATATTTTTAAAGATTGTTTTGCTGGATGTGGTGAAAAGATCTGATGAGTTAACACAGCCTTGTCTAACTCCTCTTTGTATTTTTTTCTATTAGCTGTACTATCCATCTATTCATAAAGCAGCGTTTTGATTTGCTCACTTATAATAAATATTCCAGTGTCTTCATGTGGGAAAAAGAATAAAGGAAAATATCAAAATTTCTTTACATTGTTTTCTGTTATGATGTACATGTATTTCTTTTCTCTATAAAAGGCATTTGTGCTTTTTTGAGAGATTTCATTTTATGAATACAAATATTGTTGTAAATTATACAGCATAAAATGAATACCTGTATAAGCGGATGGTTGGAGGGCATCACCGATATAAGTCCTACTTCTTTACTTTCCCTCTGTTGTGTCTGCCTTCCTGTCGGTCTTACTTCTTCTCTGCACTTAAGGACCATTATTGTGTCGATGTGCCTCTCTTTATTAAAACAAACAAACCAGTACAAATTTCAGCAAGATTGGATCAAACAAACCCGTACAAACTTCAAGCAAGACTGGATCGCTAAAATAATTACTGTCTGTCGACTGGGCCGCTGTATCCCACTCGGCCTTTGTTGGCATTGTCAATTTGGGCTGGGGACATAAAATACTTAATTTGCTTCTTTTTTTTTTAAGCAACACAATCCCTTTATTATTACTCTGAGATGAAGACGTGGGCTTGGGACTAAAAAAGTTTCAGGTTCCGCTACAAACTTTATCAGTTATTGCATAGCAATGTTTGGGGGGTGGGGGTCATAAGCAGTTTCATTTTGTAATGGATTATTCTGTCGCATCCATATAAGACGAATGCCAGAAAAATATTTTTTTCCTCACAGAGATTGATTTGATTGGTTATTTGAAAAATTCAGGAGAAGAAAAAAGGGTCTCATCTGTACAGTATATTATTATTATACAGGTGCCTATACTGTGGGTAGTTGGAGGGCATAATTGGTTGGTCCAACTTCTTTTGTTTCTGTTCCTCATGTCTGTCTATGATCTTTTTCACTTTTCACTTGCACTAATAAATGACCATTAACATTTCGACGTGCTTCTCTCACTAAAACAAACATGATGCAAACTGCCATTTAAATTGGTTTTGTGAAAGTTTTTTTTATTGTACAGTTATGTAGCTTATCCTCTAAGAGTAGACTGGCTCAATTTAATGATAACTGCCTTATCCAACCTGGTCAATCCAGTCTACCTTTTCAATACCTACTGTACACACTGTTGCTGCCCTTTAGACGTACATTGCTTTTTATCACATATTCCGTCAGTGCAGATTTTTAAGTACTCATTGCTGATGGACAGACTGAGGAAAATAGGGTAAAAGTACATGTACCCTACCAAAGGAAGATTGCCAGTCAGGCAGAAAATTGGACTCTTGACTAGTGTAGCTGTTTTTGCTCAGCATGGGCATCTCACAGGGAAAATAGTAGGCAAAAGATTCTGAGGTAGGGTAGACCAAGAACTACTTACTGTAAGAGTTTGAAGAGATGGGTGACAGGAAAAGACCAGGATAATAATATCATTCATTTTCATTACAAAAAAAATATTTATTTATTTATTTATTTATTTATATACTTATTTTACTTCTAAAGAGTGTCCAAGCAGAGAAATGAGTGACGAAACCATGATCACCGATGTCTGTTTGGCACTTGGAGAAGAAAAAGGAGATGATGAATAGGATATCCCTTGCCCTTCAGTAGCAGCTAGCCTTTTTATTACCAGGGAGAGTAGAGTTGAACTGCTGGACCTGGATGTTCACTTTTATTTCTTAAATTAAACAGGTGGTTGGAGGGCGCCACTGGTAGGTCCTAGTTTCTTTTAGTTCCCTCTGTTATTTCTCTCTGTCTGTCTTATTCTTTCCCTGCACTATGTGACGGTGTCGTTGTGCTTTTCTTTATCTAAAAAAATTCAAAATATTAATTATCATATTATCAACCGGAGAGAGGCAATTATAGTGGCGATACAGTTGAGGGGGCACAACTGTGCTTGATTTTAAAGGCCTCCATATTTTTTTGTGTTATGTACCTTGATCTTTTCAGCTCCCGAAGATTCATCACAGGACGAGTCAATAATAAGTATGAATGCTATAATTTTCAAAACAGGGCTTTTGCTATTACTTTGCGCTATCATAAAAGGGCAATAGGTTAAACTGAATATTCTTCTTTTTTTTTTTAGCTGGATATGTTCCATGTACCGATCACAGTTCGTCAAAGTTTTTCCTTGATTAGGCCTATGGAATTCATATTTTTAACAGACTGTAGATCACATGAGCGAACAAAATGGCGGCTACTTTCCATTTCTCAAAGGAGACACCTCCTGATTCTATGTTTAGTGATTTCCAGTCACTGAACAAATTCCAGAATGAGGTTTGTTTTGTTGAGTTTTTTTATTTGAGAGTATCCAGTACGACCCTCATTTTAGAGGTTCGGCTCTTGTGGATAAAAGGGAAAGAACTGGAGTTATCGTTGGGACGGCAACAGTGCAGGCAACAGTTGTGGGAGTGGCACTCTGATATTGCAGACTGCAGTTTTAAGCACTAATAGATCTAGAAATCTAGTGGCCACCTCTATTCTCACCTAGAGTGAGAATAGTGCAGGCGAGTCTTGTGGCTATTCTCACCCGGTGCGCGTTCACCAAATTTTGCGTTCACCCTAAACCACAGAATTCTACACTGTGATAACAGAAAAATTGTAGAATTTTGTGCCGCGAACAAACGTTCCATTACAACTGTAGCCTACTAAAAGCGTACAATTTTGTCTGTGGGCAGTGGAGAGAGAGAGAAAAAGAGAGAGAGGAGTAGCGCGAGAATTTCCGGGCAAAACAAAATGGCGACCCGCGTAGTTCGGCTCGATTCGAAAAGTTAAATAGCCGTAGCATCTTTGTAGACAACCAAATTAATTTACTTTTGTGTTTTAACATCATTTTTTAACTTTGTTTTGGTCAATTTGATCGTCCACACCGATAGACAGTATTCAGAAAGAGACAGAGAAAGAGAGAAGAGGGGAGGAGTTGATCTTGCGAGAACTTCCGGGCGGGTGAGAATAGCCACTTTCAAATCTAGTAGAGTCTAGTCTAATGATCTATACCCTCTCACCTCCAGAGGAAGGAGGGGAGGGGGGGGGGGCAGAAACAATGGAGGTTGAAAGGAGAAATGAGAAAATAATCCATAATCCATGCTTTATCTCACTTTCTCATATTTTTCTGAACTCTCTGACACTGACTGATCATGATGTCATTCATGGAAGAAGACAGGAAAGGGCCCCATTCATTCAGGCATCATATATGACAACTAAAATAACGTCATGGTCATGATAGCCTTTGGCAATATCAAAATCAAATGAAAGCATAAACCATTTATTATTATTGGAGTGTACCCTTGTGAAGATGTGTATCCTTTGTGTTTTGGATGCATTGATATAATTAAAGGAAGTGGCTATTCTCATCCATGCTGTAAAACTTCTTTGAGTGCGTCTCTGGCTATTGACTATTGTTCAGTTCAGTTAGCAAGAAAAAGCTTAAATTGAGAATGATGAGACAGAGCTTTAAAGGGAGGGGGTTTACCATTGTCACTATAATGGCTGTGTGTTGACAAATTTATCTGCACATACAGAGCATATTTATTATATTTTTATTTTGTATTCAGGGTGAGAATACCATAATATTATTCTCACCCGTTTTTTTTTTCATTTCCGCCTTTTTTATTTCGTAGCTTTGTTCAGTCTTTCAACACAATCCCTTATAGAGCCTCAAGGCCTTGTGCACATCTTACACCGATTCAAAAGACGTTTAACAGAAATCAGTGATAGACATCTTCATTCTAAAATTTCCTCCTCACTGGTTTCAGTAAAATGGTTCTGTAAATTGCTCATTTTGTGGTAATTTTGGTTGAAAATGAAAGAATAACAACAATGCGATGGTTGTCCAAGCCCGCAAAAGCTGGCCATTTTGCAATTCCAAATAACTTGGCAAGGTTTTGCCATCTTTAATAATAATAATGATAAAAATAGCATTTGTATAGCGCATCCCGCTCAACAGCAGGCTCTCTATGCGCTTTACACAATACTATTACCCCAGCAGACCATAGAACACTCCAAAACATTCTCAGCTTCCCGGGAAGCACACTAACAAAATGACAAGATCTTCCGCTGTCTATAGCCGGGTACCCTTTCCTACCTGGGTGAAGTGAGGAAAATTCGTGTAAGTGCCTTTCCCAAGGACACAACGCCGGGTTCCTGACGGGATTCGAACCCACGACCTTTGACAACTAACTGAGGTATTGAGCGGCAGAAGTAGGTATTGAGCGGCAGAATTCATCTACCTGCCTCGCCGTGAAGTGGTTAAGAGTTTTGTTTAATCATTACACTCTCTCTTATTTCACAGATTTCTATCATCCTATTACATGTATTTAGGCCAGGCCTACCTGTTCTCAACGCCCAGGTGAAAATAAAACCGGGTGAGAGTAACAATATAATTATTCCAGGGTGATAATAAAATGGATACTTTTCTCACCCGCGTTGAGAATAACGACAACCATTCAAATTAGCATCAAGTTCATGATTGTGTAATATGTGTAGCATCATGGTGGAATCCAGTGCTCGTGAAAATGTTGAAATCAAAGACACGAACCTTTTTCCGCTTGGTTGGTAATTTTATGCGAATTTTTTGTTTTAGCCTTCTTACCTTCAATATCCATTTAATAATATAATTCTGCTTTGAATCTTATATTATATCCAAAAACTGACAAGCACCTGATTCCACCAGGCCATGACAGGTACATTTATAGATATTAATAAATTGCTTTTTTATGTTTTCTTTTACAGTTATTTGGCCACCTTGTTGACTATGCCTTTCAGTTTCTTCTGGAGCCAAGCAAGGTATTTCAGATATATAATGTTTAATCGAAATGCTTTGAAATCACTAATTCCATAAATAGTCTTTAATGTAAGCCGTTCTATAGCATATAGGCTTTAATAGAGCCTTAGCATTTAAGATTCAATGCTTAAAAGCTTAAGTAAATGCAACACTTAAGAATGTAGTGATCCTTGTCTGCTTTGACCCTTCTTGTAGGTAAACTCCACTAATTAATTTTATTTGTTGATCTTATTCTAACGAAGTGTTTATCTTTTGTGCTGGGTAAACCAGCTCAAAATTACCTTTTAGAGCAAATTTTCTGTTTAAATCGATTAAGCTGTAATTTCATTCCCAGGAACTGTTGCATTAGTAATATAAATACAATTTGTTTTGATTTCTATCATTTGTCTTTTGCTTTTATTTCTTCAGTCGTCACGGCTCATGTCCCAGCTGGAAGATTTTGCTCAAGAAAATGGCGTCGGGGTCGGAGCTTTGAGAAATGTCTTCAAAAGTTTAGTTTCTCTGCCAAATGGTAAATTTGTAACAAATATATTCTTTTTTTTTTTTTATTGGTCTGTCGACCAATCCCAGAACTTTTGTGTTTAAAAGATACATTTTGGAAGCTGCCACCTACTCATGGAGATTTTTTCCTTGATCCTTACCTTAACCAAAGGAAGATCAAACTTTTTCTTACGAGAAAGAAAATTAAGAGAATATTTGAAATCAACTCTTAACTGTTTGTAGACAGGGACAGTTACTTTTTAGTTTTAAAAATCGGATAGAGAGAAATAAATTACACAATGGGTGGAAGAACCTGGAGTCAACAATACTATTACTATTACTAAACATATTATATTATTCCACAACGTCATGGCCTTTACTTTACGAGGAAAAGTTCTGAAGAGGTTTTTACACGCAGTTATTGCATTCAATATGAAAATGGTATAGTTTACAATAGTTTACTCCGCATAGCGACCTTGTTTTAAAAGTCTTTATGTATAGATTTGTATGTGACAATAACGAAAGAAAAGCCAAATGTACCCAAGATTTATTCAAAATTTTACTTCTTTTTAGAGATGTGACAAGAAAAGACAGGATTATAGTAAACTTTTTTAGAACATCCAAGCTGAGAAATGAGGTGGGAACCATGACTGGCAATGTCTGTCTCTGATCTTGCACGTTTGGGAAAAAGTTTTGTGAAGAGAATGTTGAAACAGATAAATCCTTTACGTCTACCCAAATGGTAAGCCAAGGGTAACAAAAGAGCTGAAGAATCTCATTTAGGAAACACCAAAATGTTCAATGTATTATGTATAGTTTTTTTCTGTCCTCGTCAGTGGCACTCAAGAAAAGTTTAAGTCCATCTCAAGTGCAAGAGGATCTGAGAAATTTGGGTAAGTCCCTAATTAGTCAGGATATAACAGAACCATTATCATTCATGTTAACAAGTATCGGTACTGTCTTTTTATTTATGTTTGGATATTTGATAGCATCATTATCATTCATGCTTTGAAGTACTTGGTTTCCTAATGATTTTGTGTTTCAAAATGTTTTGTGCTCCTTGGAATAGTTTTTGATGGTGTGATCATCGCTGTATGTTAGTAAGTGCATATCTCGCAATCTCTGTTTTCTTGTTCAATGTCCATTTATTTAACTGTGAAAATGTGACTTTTTCTTAAGCTCACTCTTCATTTTGAACTGTTTTCACTGTTATTAAAAATCGAAATACGACAAGAAAGCACTGAGGTCGCGATCTGTCCTAGGCTTTTTGTGTTCTAAAATGGGTTTTTTTCATTTGTGGAAGATCTTCTGTTTTTAGTTTGGACGTAATACGTCACTGTCATCCATTTGCGATGTAGCGGTTGGGCTCTTTGGTGTTGCACATAGATGATATGGATTCAGTTCCTATATATGGGGATTTTTTTTTTCTAATTTCGATTTGCCTGCTGGGATGTTGTATAGCACTCAGCCTGGCTTAGCCTTGCTGCCTTGCAAAAGAAACTCTCGCAATCCACCTATATGTGAGGCAGTGTGGGGAAATCAGGCACTCATCAAAATAATCAAAGTGAAGAAACTGGAATTTTCCAGCAAATTTGTGAATTTTTATCGAAATTTTGTTTTTTGGCTCAGAAACGATGTGACCCCTCCTCCTTCAATCACCAGTATCTCGACTTGTACCCAAGATAAATGGGTATTTTTTTCATTGAATGCAAGACAAATGAACTAACTTTAAGCAGATACCAATAACTTCATGCCGAAAAATTGGCTAGTGCCTGGTTCCACCACGTCGTGACACATATAGTCTAAATTGTGTTGATGAGAGCATAATACAAAATTACAATTTTAACTGACATATGACCCTCCACCCTGTAGCTCTGATGTTAATTTCAGGAATAATAAATGCCATTTTCATGTCACCCTCCACCTCTTGTCCCCAACTTGCTGGTAGTTGGAGTGTGTCACTGGTTGGTCCTCCTTTTTTTTCTTCCTGGTGTTTCTCTCTGTCTGTTTTGCTTCTTCTCTAAATGAATTACCATTTTTGTGCCAATGAGCTTCTCTTCACTCTAACAAACAAATCATCCCCACCACCAGATTTGTCAGGTGAGTGGTTTGCGGGTGCTCTGGTGTGGTGTGCTTCTTCTTTCCTGTCAAACCATTATTGTCTTTATATCTCTTCTTTCTTTTCTTTGTATATTACTATTTACTCTAAATATACGTAGACGTATTTGTGTTGCAAGTGCCGTATATCTCTTACCAAAACAAATTTTCTGGTAACACCTCTAACCTTCTGCTCTTATTTGACCTATTTGCGTTGCAAGTGCCATAAAACTCTTACTAAAACTTTTGCTGAAACTAAAACAGGTCTGTCAGAGGAGAAGGCGCAGATGGTGTCGGGTCACTTCGAGGCCAACTTGGGCTCCCTGTCGCGTGGAGCCTTGGGCCAGACTCTCATGGTCAACCAGCTAGTGGACATTGAATGGAAGTTTGGAGGTAGGATACAGTATCAGTATCTTCGTCATGGTATTGATGCCTTTGTGTAAGCGTGTGTGTGTGTGTGTGTGCGTCTGTGTATGTACATGTATGTGTGTGAGTATATTGACTTGTGCATGTCTTGTAACCACAGCACTTTTTCTTTGTAGAAATAAATAAAGCTTACCTCATCTTACTTTTCTTGTTGCGTTCCTAGTGTTTGTGTTAAGGATGCTGTCAATGGCATAGTGGTTTGACAACTTGACTCGTGACATAAAGATTATGGGTTCGGTTCTAGTCATGGAAGAAGTTTTGCCTTTAGAAAAGACACTTTACACAATTTTCCCTGTGAAATATCTCCCCGATGAAAACTGGACATCAGCACCTGTCTAGAGTTGTTCCAAAAACAAAATAAGCTTACCCCTGACTTGCTATTTGCTAGATAGATTTGGAGGGGTTTGCCTGCTACACACATCAGCAAGGAATTAGACTTTGGAATGCTGGAATAACAACGTCATGCTCTCATATCTAAGTCCATATCAATAGTGTAGAGCCCTAAGGACCCACTCTGAAATTTTTTTACTTTGTTATGAGACGGGGTTAAATACACCATTTTTATAAAGTTACCACGACACATCAACTTATTTCAAATGGTTTTTTGTTGTTGTTTTTTAAATTCTTGTCTAGTACTAATAATCTAGTAGAGGGCCTTTTATTAATAGTGATAATTAATTTTACTTATAAAAAATATCTTATATTATGCATTTTAGTATTTTAAGCTTCAGTCAAAGTTTTCCTTCTTTGCTGCAAGAAAAATTCGGAACTTGGTTTAACCTTGATTTACATTGGGAGGGAGGGGGGGAGAGACAACTATTTATCTTGCAACATCGATGATAGAGAAATGGTGCTTTGATTTGAAATAGATAGTATAGTTAAAGTAAATAATATTCTGCATTTTAAGTGAGATTATTTTTTCTCTTTTGGCTATTTAGTCACGGCATCCAGCAGTGAGTTGGACAAGGTTGGGAACACATTCCTACAGGTGAGAGAAAATGGGCAGAAGTAAAGTAACATGTACTGTCAAATCTGCCTTAAGAGTCACCTCTCCCTACCAGTCACCTGAACTAACGGCCATTATTCCGTGACGCCCTTATGTTCTTATGTTTTTTCCTATACTAACGGCCATTATTCCGTGACACCTTTACGTTCTTATGTTTTTTCCTATACTAACGGCCATTATTCCGTGCCACCTTTATTATTTTTTCCTAAAAAATGTTTTACCTACCCTTAGCGGTCCCCCTGTTGAACGCAGCCCAGTCAGTCGTTTTTGCAACAAGTCATCCTCAAAACCTGCTCATAGCAGTCACCTGCTTCAAAAGTTTTCTCCCAACCCATCCCCACACTAAGTGGGTGTTTGTAATAAATGCAAAGAAAGTTTTATGGAGAGATAATGACTTTGATGGAAATTGAATGGAAAGAAAAAATTAGTGTTTTCAGATTTTGAACCATTTACTGACTTTGTCAAGTAAGCGACCATTACTGAGGCCCTGCCCATAGCGGCATTTTGTTTGAAATGGTCACTTTTTGTATGATCTTGAGAGACTGTTATGGATAGGTTCGACTGTGAAGCCCTTAAGTTAGAAGAACTGTTTAAACAAGTGCAGAAACATATAGTAGGGTTATAGTTCTGTCTCAGGAACAGGAAATAGTAGGCTGTGATTATTTGAATACCCAAAGACATGGGGGGGGGGGGATGCTCTTTGGTTTTAGCTTACTCTGATATTCCTTTACTGGTCTCCTTAGTATTATTATGAGCAGGGTGTCCAGCAAGTACATAATGTCATTAAAAAAGTCGAAAATTCAGCATCCTGGTCATAAAGGTCATAAATGGTATTAAACGTGCCTTGACTGTAGTAAACAGTTGTAAATTAAACCTGCATATAGAGTAATGAACCTAGCAAGACTTTCCAGTGAACGGAGTCATAGCCACGGTACTCAGCAATTACAAAGTCTATCTTTTGTAGAGGCTTGATACTCTAAATATCAGGTTTCACGTCTTTAATTCTTTGTATTTGCCGTCGTCTTCAGGGGTCAATCTTAGTAGTAGTATCAGTATCGCGGAACTTTAAAAGACAGTAACTCTTCATTGTTTGTGCCCGTGTTAGGTCTAAATCTAGCGGCGAGCGCGCGCTATCATCAGTCTATCCTCCACTTTGTCGACTGGACTTTGTTTTGTTCCAACCAGCCAGAACAACTTCGATTTTCTACATTTGTCTGTTACAGAATCTAGATGTAGTTCAAGTTTAAGACTGTGAATCAAAAGGATTCCTTTTTGTTAAAGTTTTGCAGTCAAAACTCACTATGTGGAAGTACTATTTCAACCCTGAGTGGCTGAAAGACAATGGTTTTACCAAGTAGCTGGGCCAAGTTCCAAACAACCCTGGTCTGTTTTTCTGCAGAGCTTGCAAACAGGGTGCAATAGGCACAAATGGCGTGGATGCATTAACGTCACATATGAAAACAGCAAAGCATAGATTCTCCTTACAAGCAGCCACTTAACCCCATGCTATGTTCTGTTTTCTGAAAAGCAAGGACGTGCTTGCCAACTTTAAGTCACAGATTCAAACAACTGAAGACACAATTCAACAGCCTTCCCAACCCCAACTATCCACAAACAAACTCTCGACAACTGAAACCAAAATCTCGCTCCTTAGATGCACACATAAAAAGTAAAGTTGTTCCGGCTTCCGATCTGGACATTGGAGATTGCCTTGTTAGCGAGACAACATCCTGGGCCTTCTGCATATTGTGGTATGGTGGCCAGTTCTTTTCCGCACCACCTTTACTTCCTCAACTCGGAAGTCAGGTACCCATTACTGCTGAGTGGGCAGGAGGGGGCGAAAAAAATCTGTGTCCAAACCGAGGTTGAATCCAGACTTTCCGCTTTGGAGAAGAGCGCACTAACCGCTCACATAGGTGATGAAAAACCTCTTTTTTGAGCTGGTGTGGGGGCTTGATTTGCTGGGTAGTAAATTTTTTTTCCAGGGAGTAAATTTTTTCTAGAGATATTGCTGGACACCCTGTATGAGGCTCTTTGGCTGCATGTGAAAGTTGTGAGTTCAGATCTCATATATGGGAATGATAGTTTATGGGTTGTCTCCGCATTTCTGCTGGGATGTGTAGATTCCTACTTAGCCCAGGCTGGCCCTGGTAGTAAGAGTAAGAGCAGCCCAGCCCCTTAATGATCTAAGTTGTGTCATTTACAGCCATTTGTTTCCCCTTTGAACTGACTTGTTCTTCTAGTTGGTCAGATGATTGGAATGTGACACTATCCTATCACTGAAGCATCAAATTCACACTTGTTTAAAACAGGGTTACTGTGTTTAGATCGGTATTCCGATGTCAACGGGAATGATGTTTGGTTTGTGGATTTTCTCGACTCGTTGATGTGTTTTTACAGGATTTTTTTTTCCACCTATTTCCTGAGAAAGTAGCGAATGCTTAAAATATAAAATCATTTTTATTCTTTTGGTTTGAAAGGATTTTATTGTCTTTTATTTTCAGTTGAAGCTTGTCATCAATACTGGCAATGGAATGAAGAATGTGTTCTTGGGTGAGTCTCATAAATGAGTGTTTAGAGCATGCTAGGGGTATGTCCCTCTTTTTCTATATTTTTTTTCTGTCTGTCTGTCTGACTTTTTCCAAGCACAAGATGAAAGTTTTTGTGTCCAAGTACTTTCCTTGATCTCCAACATAGGCCAGTCATACACTAATAATGAAGATGGGCCTTTGTTTGTTTGTTGATTTACCAAAAAAAAAAGCAAAAGAAAATGAGTCCGTACCGTAACTCAGTAAGGCACTGGAATGTCCACTCAGTAAGGCACTGGAATGTCCACTCAGTATGGCACTGGAATGTCCTATTAGAATATCATGTGATCACCTATGAGTGTACTAAGTCTCCCAGTGATGCGTCCTGAAGGACTGGTGATGAGAATACTTACTTGGTGAATTGCTTGTATGAAAACAAACCTGGCTGACCTTCTGTGTATCTAATCCGCATTTTTCAGCCATTCACGAAGCACTGGTAAAAACATTCTTTGTTTGTTTTCGGGACACACGATGTAAGTTAAAACCTAAAAGTTGAACCTGTTCTAATGGCCACCTATCCAAGACAACCACCTGCACAAATGACTGTTTCGCACTTTCCCCTTTGAAAAAAAAATATAATAGTGACTGTCCAAAATGTCCACCTTCTCAGACAAACTCTTTTCCTCTCCGCTATGGGTGGTTGTCTGGGACAATTTCGACTGTACAGGTACAAACCTGGCTGACTTTCTTTATCATATCCACATTCTCTAGCCATTCACCAAATACGAGTAGACCCATTCTATGTTCGTTTACGAGTAGCCTACATGTGTTAAAAATTAAAATCATTCCGATTTCAAGGATTTGTCTGCTTTTCTGAGTAAATGTAATTGGCAAACATGGTCCTGGCTGATCTGTCAATCACTGGATGGCTGGTCACTGAGGTGTTAATTGGAAAAAGCTTATTTTTGCATTGATCTTACTCACAATGTGTCTTTACTAAAGTAGGACAGTAGAGCCTGCTTAAACCAAAATTTGGGGTCTACCAAATTGTCTTTGATTAAGACCTGTTTTAACGTGTGGTTAGCTGGTGCTCTGGTGCTTCTCCCCTATCAAATATCTATCATCTTTGGCTCTCTGCCTTTTTTTCTGCATTTGTTACTCTCTTGTAACACCTCTAATCTTCGATACTTATATGGCCTTATTGTGTTGCAAGTGCCATAAAAAACTCTTACTAAAATTTAAAAACTGTTTTCAGTTTACAGTGATTGCTCTAATACGAAGAAAAAAATTGAAGATTTTGTTTTCTTTCTGTTTACTGCGATGTTCCAGATTAACCGTTTTCAGTATAAGTGGACTTAACTGGTCATTTTTCTGCATTGACCTTACTCTGTGTCTTTACGAAATTGATATTTGTGGAAACAATAATGCCATGTTTTCTGTTCACCACTCTTTTTTTACACTCTTGTATATTTGTCTGGTATTTCAGAACTTACTCTCCCTCAGTTCTACTCCTTCCTTCATGAAATGGAAAAAGCGAAGGCAAGCCTGGAGTACTTGGGTTAATACATCATTACAGTCGTGGGAAAAGTGAGCCCTGCAAGAATTTTTGCTATCTTGCCCTAAGCCCATTTGACATCTGCGTGCCGGTAAAGATTTCGGACCTTTTCTGAGGGCCGCCTGTCAAGATTTAGAGTATGGTTAAGGCAAGACCTGTATAAGGGACAACAATCAAGTGTGTTGGACACTTACCTTATTGAAAACCCTGTGGTTAGTAGTAATAGATAAAGTAAGGTATTGTCATATTGTCGTCACAAGAAATAGACTTTAACTACCTTAAGCTTTAAAAAAGCTTGCCTTTGGGACAGTTTTTAAGTAATTTACGGAATTCCCACCTATTCATGTGGAATTTATGAAATGAATGCAGCAGCGGGATCACTTTCTCAATAAGACGGAGATGACATTGCTTCCAGAAAGTGAGAAACAGACGGCTACATTGCTTTGATTCCTGTGACTTTTATCAGTTTACGCAGTCAGATTATTCATGTCAACTCTATTTTTAGGAGTCTATAAATCTGAAGGGTTTGTGTAATCGGTGAAAACGCTGAATGGCGATGCTCGGAGAACAATGTGTGAGAGAGGGACTGGGTGTGTATGATGAGTGTGCTTACTTAACAAGTTACTGATAATGACAGTGCTTTGTGTGTGTGTGTGTGTGTGCTGACATAACTTGTTGTATCTGATAGAGATAGGGTTGTGTCTGAGTGTTTGTGTGTATGTTGTATAAGTGTGTGTGAAAGCTTCGTTCCCTTCATAAGCTGCCTCTATTGTGCTCTTTATGAATGTGTATAGCTGATACCTTCAAGATGTAAGTAACTGTGATGGAGTGTGAGTGTGAGATTTCTTCGTTTGTATGTTTAATTTATTTTCATGTATCTGATTGTTTTGTGATGAATTCACTGTGAAAGGGGAGACTGTGATGTTGAGATTGATGGCATTCTACACATGTATTTCTGTGCAAAATCACTTCATTTGTCATATCTTGTTTAGTGGTTATTTCAGTGCTGAAAATGGAGACAAATGATATGTTGTTTTAGTTGAACAAACACGTTTGAGAAATTTGTTTGGCTTCTTATGCGAATAAATTTGGGCGGACAGGGTTAAGCCTTTTTTTCATCCAAGCTCTCCATAATACCATTGTGTTTTTGTGTTAATATCATGTATGTGGATGTGTTGATATATATGATACAGTAGTCTCCTTCTAAGATCCTGGTGCTTGGGAGGGAAGAAAACGCAGGATCTGAGGCGACTTGGATTATAGCCGAATCATCAAGGGGGAAAGTCCACAATGACTCACGGTCAGGGCCACAATCAGTAAAGTGATATTTCTGTACTTTGAAATGAACTGACATGACACCTTGGTATTCAGATGTCTTTTCAAAGGTCAATTATTGAAATCTGGCGGAGTTTCCCGCTCTTGGGATAATGATAATGCATCATTGTTTTGTGACAGCCACAATTAAGATTTGAAGAATAAAAAGCAGGCTCACTGCCAACAGATGACCACATTATTACTCACAGGTGATCGGACAGTCCCTGAATTTGGGGGCCAGTCTGTCTAGCGAATTCTGGCACAAAACTGAAAGGCAAATGGGATGGACAGGGAAACGAAAACCTCAATGAATCATCAGTTCCATGTGATCCCATCCGATGTGGCTTTGTTGGCCCTAACCACCCATGTGTGATGTATGTTTCGGTGGAGGGTTCAAATGCGAGTGTGATGTTTGAGAAAAACGAAAGTGTCGAGGACACGATCCCATCTGAAGGAAGCATTGTAGCAGAGATATGCAACAGAGATGTGATCCGCGCTCATATGACCTTATGCAGTTGTGAGGGCCGTAAAACTCTTACATACAAAGAGATGTGATCACATTCATGAAAGTGAACGACCTGTAACAGACAAGTTTTTCTCTTCTTGGTTGATCAGCCGCACCCACCCAGGTTTTTGTTCAGTAAATTATGTTCTGAAATGAAGGATCAAAGTCTAGGACAAATACATTTAAATATTATGTCATCTAGCCCTTTGAGCGAGATCTTTGGGAAGACTTTTTTGTGGTGAAATTTGTTTTTTTTAAATAGAGGGACCTTAAGTGAACCAGGATCATATGTGATGGTACATGTATATTACCTGTGGGTGGTTGGCAGATGCTGTGGTGTGGTTTGTTCCTTTCCTATCCAATATCTATTGTCCTCTCTTCTTTTTTGTGGGTTTTTTTTTCTCAAGTAACACCACTATTTTTAATCTTTGTCATTTATTATGGCCAGTTTGTGGTGCAAGTGCTGTAAAATTCTTTCTAAAACCAAACTATGTATAACATACTTTAATATATACATATATGGTAATATTAAATAGTTTTCTCTCTCTATATATATATATGGGCCTATATATATGTGTGTGTGTGTGTGTAGGCATATATATATATATACAATGAGTATTATACACCCACACACATATTTGTAATACCATGATGAAGAGACCCGAGGTAACTTAGCCACAAGACAAATACAGAATAATCTCCTTGACTGTGATAAAAGGCTAATGTGAATAAATTATACCCTGTATTGAGTATCGCTCTGGTCTTTCCGATTTCCTTCCTTGTTCAGGTTGGCAAATACCGAGGGAATACCCCTCGTGGCGCGGTGCCACTGACTGAAGTGTCTTTGGGCCTTTCCCAAAGGGGGACATTTGTCGTTCTTATGCACTGTAGAATTGTAAATGGGCCGAGCCAACAATGTCATGCTTATAACTGTGCCTGAACTGCTACAGGGAGCTGCTGCCTTTTCTTTCCTAATCCTTGCTATCGTTATTTTCCTCTACTTCTTTTGTATGTTTGTCACGCTCTTGTGACCCGCTATTTTCGGGGTGCCTTTATAGTCAAAGCAGACTTTTGCAGTCGAAGCTAGAGAGATGAGCAGAGTAAGTCCTATTCCCTGCAGGAACTTCTCTGCTGACATCCACCCCTTGGCGCTCATATGACCTTATGAAGCTGCGAGCGCCTTAAAACCTCTACTAAAACAAAAATATCGAGTGGGTGGTTGGCGGGTGCTCGGTGTGGTTTGCTTCTTCTTTCCTTTCAAACATCTATCGTCATTATCCCCTCTCCTTCTTTTTTATGTTTGTTACTCTCTTGTAACACCTCTATTCTTCGGCTCTTATGCAACCTTTTTGTGTTGCAAGTGCCGTAAAACACTTACTAAAACTTTTTTTAAATACCGAGGCTAAAAACTCAGCTAAACAAAATAATATTATTACAGTCGGATCCATCGTTCCTGTCTCTGTGTGAGGTGTCAGATGCGAAGAGTAGTTTCCTTCCTCTGTGTGGGTGTGTGTGCCCGCGCGCAACAGCCATTGACATGCTTAATCATTATTACATAGTGATCTTATACAGACAGATTGTAAGACAGTGGGAAACAAAACTTTCCCGGTCTATTTTTAGCCTCGGGTTTACTCTCCTCTCTGTTTCCACTTCTGGGCTCCAGACACGCCACTGGATAAGCCAAAAAGTCAACTGAAATCTTTAGACCTAGATCTATTGCTAATGTTTATTTTGTAGATTATATCGTAACGCCTCGGGGCGGGTGGATAGAGGGCGCCACTTTTAGACCCTTCTTTCCATTCGCTCTGGTGATAGATAGAGTCTATGTGGGTGGTTGAGGGGTGCACTGGTAGGTCATATCAATTCTCTCTGGTGTGTGTGGGGGAGGGTGCACTGATAGTACATGCAGTGATAGGTCCTACTTTTTTCCACTCTCTCTTTTGTTTGTGTGTGGGTGGGTGGTTGGAGGGCACTACTATTAGGTCCTACTTCTTTTCGTTCTGTCTGTCGGATGTGAGTATTAGGGTGGCTGGAGGGCGCCACTGGTTGGTCCTTCTTTGACGTTTTTGCCTGGACTCAAGGATATTATATTAAAAGTTTTTAAGTAGTTCTAACCCCCTTTCCTGGATTGTGTGGGTGGTTGGAGGGGGCCACTGAAAGGTGTTAGTGTTTCTTTTCTTTCTCTCTGTTACTTCTGACTGTGTGGGTGTGAGTGGTTGGAGGGCGCCACTTGTAGGTAGGCCCTGCTTCTTTTCTTTCTCTCTGTTGTTTCTGTCTGTATGAGTGGTTGTAGAGCGCCACTCGTAAGTCCTTATTTCCCTCTTTTTTTTTTCTTTTTTTAAATACTTTTTGTGAGGATGGTGAGAGGGCACCACCGGTAGGTCCC